CATACACCACCACCAATACCAAGATGGTTCTCTCCAGCTAAGGAGATCCATCTCAGATCTACTAGCTGATCTAACTTGATCGTCAGAGTCCGCTCCCGGGGTACAATCCCTGGGGCGGCTCTAACGGTTTTGCTCTGTGTTGTCCAAATCTCCGCTGCAGTAGAAGACTAGAGGGCTAGCCGGAGGTCGATGTCGCATCATGCCACAAACAATTAAAGGTTTAACTATCTTCTTCTATAAGGTCTTGGGAAGCCGATACCCATGCTTGTGCTTACTTCTTTTCTTCCTCTTTTGTCCATGGCACCATATCTTGGCCAGAAAAGACCGATTTCATTTATGCTTTTTAAAATAATTTTCAGAGTAAATCCTGGCCAGAAAAGACCGATTTCATTTATGCTTTTTAAAATAATTTTCAGAGTAAATCCTTTTAATTTTTAAAAGAGATGCGGAATTTGTTCCCAAAAACAAAACATGATAAAATAGATATTTATCAAAACATTTCATAAGACATATGATTTCATTTCATATTCAAAAGTCGGGATGTCATGTTCCGATACAGATCATAAAGCATAAACGATAGCATTACAAGTCATTCAACAAATATATACATATACAGACTTGTAAACAAAACAACTTGATGTTTGCCCATCTTAAGCTCTTGCGCCACTTCCTGTAAAATAAATCAACTGAGTGGGTCAGGCTTGGGAGCCTGGTGAGCATATAGGGTTTTCAACCCACAATAATTATATTTAATTTCAACATTCAACAATCAACAATAAACCCGATTACCCATTCCCGTTATCCTCACCTTACGTTCCTAAAAATAACGTCTATTATAAGGAACCTATTTCAGGATTTTTCATCGGGACGGACATTACTGCAGAGGGGCTTCCTCAACATTAAGTGTCCTAAAGGCAACCATGTGGGGGATAGAGTACACCGGTGAACACGTCGTTCACAAAACCTACAGGTAATGAGCCTGCTAGTGTTCCACAGAATAGTCTAGAATAGTCCGTGGTCATCATCCATACTCTGCTGAATGACTAGAATAACACCAATAACACTGAGGCCTCTCATCTGTTTATTACACACCAATTACCTACCCATGTTCTACCCAACATATTAGTAGATAAAAATATACATTTTTATACATTGTTTAAAAACCTGTATAACATGCTTTAAGCAATACATATTCCACATAACAGATGAGGCATGCACACATAACACGTATTTCATAGAGAATACATTAGATCTATAAGATAGAAGAGGGTGAATATACACTCACACGTATAACAACCAAATATATACACATAACACGTATTTTATATGAAATACTTCATAATATTGCGTTGGAATGAAAATAACTACACACTCACCTGATCAGAAGATGATCGGGCAGCACTATGGCTTGTAGAAGAGGTGTTTCTCCGTAGATCTGGAAGATCTTCACAAAACCGGGCTCCTCGCGGGCAGCGTTTCAGCTCGGGAATAACGCTCTTCGGGATCCTCGGGGCTTCGGATCTTGCTTCGGGGCTCGGGAATGATACCGGGGCTTTGGGGCATAAACGACACGCAAAACGAGGCAAAACTTAGAGAGAGGGAAGAGTTTGAACAAGAGAAAATGGCTGAATTCGAGTTCTATTTATAGGCTGCTGGGTCTGGGATTACGCGGGGCGTAATCTCAAATTACGCAGGGCGTACTCAGTACGCGGGGCTTACTCGCGTTACGCGGGGCGTACTTTGACGTCACTGCGTGCGTCGACTGGTGGCACTCGAGTATTGGTCAGCCAAGTTGCATCCGACTGATTACGCGGGGCGTACTCAAATTACGCGGGGCGTAATTGACTTGTCAAACTTCTAAATTGCGTAACTTTCACATACGAGCTCCGTTTTCGACGTTCTTTATATCCACGCGAAGGTCAAACCATACTCTACAACTTTCATTTAGACTCCATTGGCTAATTTTGACTTTTATTTTTATTATTTATTTTTAGAAGGCCGGGACAGAAAAACTTCGTTATAAATTCATAACTTCTTCGTCTGACGTCCGTTCTCGCCTAACTTTTCATTGTTTCGCTACTAACAACAAGATCTTCAATTCTCATTTAGATTGTTTCGGCTAAAAACCGCTCGATCTCAAATCGAGTATTCGGGCTGCATACTGCTAAGTCGAAACTTAGAAAAATCATAACTTCCTCATACGAAGTCAGATTTGGGCGGTCCTTTTTTGTACGCTCTTGGTTTAACGAAATCTACGACTTTCGTTTAGATCGCTAAGGCTAAATATAGCTCTATCTTAAATTCATATTTTACGTCACTCGGCGTCGTGTTGGTTCTGTCGCGAAACTTCGACAGGTCATAACTTCTTCGTTATAACTCGGATTTTGGCATTCCTTATATCTCCAGAATCCTTGTTTCGACCACTACAACTTTATGCAAAGATGTCGGGCTTATCTCACACTTTAATTTTGACGGGCTTATCTCACACTTTAATTTTGACGCTTATTTTATTCTTAATTCATTAAATTAAAAAATTAAGAAAATACACACATAAATCACATAATTCAAATAATTCACAAATAATACATTCTTATTATTTCAAGTTGAGTTACAAGGTTAACCTAGACTATTACATTGCTAAAAATGGCAAGCCCAGAAACACGGGCGTTACAGGGGAGTTGTATCTAACGCAAAAACGTTTTGCGGTTTCAATAGTTTGGTAAGGTATTTTGATTGAGATCTATGGTATTTGGATTGTAAACAATACACAGTTGTGTAGGTAAATAGAGAAAGAGAAGAATTATGGCAAAATTTAGGTTGTATATTGTGATATTTATAGGTAAATGTTTATTTAAAAAATAATAAATATTTAACATAAAAAAAACCGTTCAACGCCTAGTCAAAACAGACAAAGAGTAAATTGCATTTCATTGGCCGTGGTTATTCATTGAATGGACCACAAATCACCACGACCGCAGGCCACAACCACACTTGGGCCAATGTTCTTGTTCGTAGTTGGTGGCTACATAGACCATGATATTCCTCGTTCAGACCATTTATTATACCCACCACTACCCATTATAGTGGTGGGTGCTAAATCATCACCACTAACTACCACTAAACCTATGGGCTATACACCACTACCACTTCACTCTACATCATTTTTTTTAATTTTTTAAATTCAAAAAGACAATAAAAATATAATTTTAAAATACAATAAAAACATATATTTTTTTTTAACTATTTTTTCATTCAATAAAGAAACATTACATTGCTTAAAAAAAACTATATTACTTAAAAAGGCAAGAATAAAAAAAAAACAAACATCAAAATTAAAAACATAAAAAAACTAATCTTTGTTCATGTTTAGTTGATACAAATGTTCCGCCACATCTTCTTGAAGATCGAAACACGTTTTACTGTTATAAATTTCAACAACTCGTGCTAAAAGTTCAATCATTCAGGGTACAAACTCTTCAATCGGAAAGACTATGTCATTCGGGTCATACGTGCAAATCGCTCGATCTTGATCTTCAATAATCATATTATGCATTATAATATATGCTTGGACTGTTCTTTTAATTCTATCTTTATGACTATATCCCAGAGTCGTGTAGCGTATTTCACTGCATGTCATGTCTGCTTGAGGACTCGAAATGCCCCCTCATTATCCTTTCCCGCTGATTCCTGCCGTTTTGTGAACAACTTTGTCTTTTCACATCGAGGAATCGAGTATCCCTTCAGAAATGCAGAATAAGTAGGGTATATCCCATTACAAAGGTAGTAACCATATTTGTACGAATTCCCGTTCACCGTGAATGACATATTAGATGCTTTGTCGGTCCAAAGATCGTTGAAAAGAGGATACCGACTAAGAACATTAATGTCGTTGTTAGACCCTGTAACTCCGGAAAATCCATGCCTCTCTTTATACGCCAAATATAACATCTCAATATCACGTGGAGTAGGCTTACATATATATTCTTCATGAAAAGCCTCATATACATGTGCACAAAACCAATCTACACAATCAATTGCAGTCCTCTCGGATACTTTGAAGTACTTGTTGGATGCATCAAAGGCTATACCGTATCCCAAAAATCTAAGAGCAACCGTATATTTTTGTATACTAGTAAAACCCTTTATTCCTCTAGCATTAGGTTTTTGTTCGTAAAAATATAGCTTTATTTACACAGAAACAATGTTGGAATGAGTTGTGATTGTGAAGATAATTATCGACAAAGTAATCACGTACCACTATGTCGTGCGCGGTTTGACGATCTTGATTGACAACCGCTCTTGAATTTAAAACATTCGAACTTTCTTCATCGTGAATGTGTTGCACAACGTTGAAGAAGCTTTTAGATGAATTCTCCACCGTCATCCGAGTTAAAATTCTTAATAAAATCCATAAATATTTTTTTTTAAAAAAAGTGTAAAAGTGAATGGTCTAAATGTATAAAGGTTTTAAAATTGTTGTTTTATATATGTAATGTTTATATATGAAAGAAAAACTAAAGTTTTTGACCACCGAAACGTCCACTCATCACCCTCTTTTGTCGTATGCACAACGACTCATCATGAACACGTCCGAACACGAATGGTCGGGATAATGTGTACAATGGATTTCCGTGGCCAAATAGACCACAAGCCTATATCGGTTGGTCTAAACGTATATCAGACTATCTAAGCTTTTCCTCAATATTTTTATTCAAAAGTAATGGTCTCAATCCTAGAATGTGTTTGAGATTCTTTTTTAGAATTAAAAGTCTTTGTTATAAAATAAATTTTTGTAAAACAACTTTTTTTAAAAGGATGTGTTTGGCTTGGTTTTTAAGATTTTTAAGAATTAAAAGACAAAAATAAAAAAAAATAAAAAAAAAGAAAAAGAATTTCATAACTTTTGAAAAAGTTAGTTTTGTTCATGGCAAAAATTGTTTTAAAAAAACTTTTCCATTAATATCTTTTTTGATTTTTTTTACTTTTCGAAAAAGTTAAAAGTTAATTTAGAGAGACCCTGTTCCATATCCAAAACCCTCCTCGCGGAGAATCCTTGCCAATTTAGTATTTATCCCATATTCCTCCGATTAACTGGTATCTGCATAATTTTGCTATGAACGAGGAAATGTGTGCAGATGGGTTTTCAAAGACCCGGTCTGCCTTGGTAGATGTTACAAATTTTGTTGGGAAGAGAGGGTATTCGTTGATTTCCAAATCAGGCGTTAACACTGAGGGTGATGAAGCTTTACGATTTGGAAAGAAAGAACGTCTTACAAAAGAGAACTATAAAAAAGAAAACTTCCACAAAGAGATTGTGGATTCTGTTTTGAAGCCTCATTTATGTAGCCACATTGATTCGTTAAACGGGAATGCCATAGATCGTAAAGCCAAGGTACCATGTGAAACCAAGGAACCATATCCACCAGGTGTTCGACATAATGCCGACTCTGATACTACTCCTAGATCTAGTAACGATGCGAGATTATCTACCCGATCATCGCCCATTTCATTACCCACAAGGCTATTCGATAGAGTAGAAACAGAAAACGATGAAAGAATCGACTCCGATGAAAATAATTTAAAGGAACGAGTTGAAGCCAGCATAAGCACCAACAATGGCGATGATCTTACTCCTGACAATTCTGATTTCAACAAAGGAGATTATCTAGACTTTTCAAGAATACTGGAGTCCCAGGAATCTAGGTCATCTTGTTTAGAAAGATGCATAGAACAAAAGGGTGCTATGAACTCCATCAAAGCTTGTTCATGTTCTTTTTGCATGAAAGGTAATTTATAAAGATTCATCTTCATTTATTGGATCAAAAGTTGTTAATTAGCTGTTTTTGTTTTGTTCATCAGCTGCTTACATGTGGTCAGATCTCCACTACCAGGATACCAAAGGCAGAATCGCTGGTGTGTTTGTATGAAATATTGAAATATTCACTTTTAAATCTGCTATTTTGCTGTTTTCTTTCATGTGCATTCATATTTCATACGTTCCTTTTGTGTGTAGCTATAAAAAAGAGCCAGAAAGAAGCTAGCATTTTGGTTGAGAGATATAGCAGAAATAATGAAATTGGAAAATATGGGCAACAAAGTAAATTCTCAAAATTGGAGCATGATCTTACATATAAGTGGAGGTCTTTTTTTCTTCATATGGAAGACATTTTTGCCCTTGAGAGCAATCAACTTGTAAGTTTCATTCTTCTTCACTCATTAAGTTTTCAATCTTTATAAAAACATCCTACTTTACCATTTTTGTTCATGTCCAGGATTTTGTTCTTGATCAATGGATAAGAAACCCAAATTTGGTTAAATAAATTAATGTAATGAAGGGCAAATAAGTAAAAGATATTCGGATGTGGTTCACTTTTTTTTTAAAACGTCTTTGTCCTTATATGACAAAGTCATCTTATATTTTTATTTCTTGGTTGGTATCGGTAAATTCATCCTTTTTTAATAAAATTTTAAATAACTAAAATGTATGTACATTAAAAAAGATGTAAAAAACTTAATTTACGATGAATTCGTAACAAAATTTTGAAATCTGCACTAAAAGTGTAAATTTTGGACAAAATTTGTAATAAGATTTAAAATGTTGGTCAAAAATGTAAATTTTGAAAGTTGGATATGATGTTGTAAACTCGTAATAAACAAATCAATGGAAGTACATTTAACTCCATATTTGGACAAATCATAAAGCAACTAATTTACACATTTTTACCAAAATATGCAACAAAGTGGATTTCTTTCAGTGTGTTACAAAATATTTACCAATTTTGATTTTTGTGATTTGAACTTTTTTTGAATGTTAGGAATCGAGCTTATTGAAACTCAGAGTTTTGAGAGAGGATTGCAAAAGTGATCTAAATCCAACGGATGAAATGAATTTAAAGAAAAAATAGGTCTCGGTCTTGTCTGTTCGTATTATCGTAAAAATATTAATTTCGGTGTTTCCAGTAAATATATAATTCTTTTTTATTTGTAGCATGGTAAAAATATAAATTTTGGTATGTAATTTTTTTGGTAGGATGCACAATGGTTGAAGTTTCTAGCATTTGTTTAATGTTTAGATTATCTATGTCGATTCTTAGCTATATCTGATTGGTGATGACCCTAGTTGCAGGTCATTCTAAGCTTATAACTAATTGAAAGAATAAATTATATTTTTGGACCCTGTGTTCAGATGTTTTTTTTTTTTTTTTTTTTTTTTTTTTTTTTTGGATCAGGTCCAAAATATTATATTTTTGCAAGTTTGATCCTTATTGGGGGTTGGGGTTTTAATAATGGCATGGGTTCATGTTCTAAATAAAATGACTATGTTGATCCTTAGTCTTTTCGACAAATTACTTATAGATGATGATTAATGACCTAGCGGTATGGAGTGACCATCTCATATGAAAAGTTAGAGGTTCAAGTTTCGATGGAGACATGTGTGGTTATTTAGGAGTAGATTAGTTAGTTTGCCGTTAAAAAAAATGTATCTCAAAATGTCCCTCTGTATAAAAATTATGTTTCTAATAGAAAATTTACCCAACCCCCTTCTTCCTCACCATTCTGGTTTGTCCAATTAATGGTGGCCTGGTGACGAGCTACTAAAAAAAATCATGTAAGCCCTCACGTAACCTCCTATATAACAAACTTTCCAGATTACATTATGTGTGCTGATTTGTGGCGTGCTTGTGATCGAATTGGAAAAGTGGTTGATGTATTTATTTCAAATAAGAAGTCGTGAATGGGTAAATGTTTCGGTTTTGTTAGATTCTCTGGTGTATGTAACAATGATTTGATGATCACACAACTATGTGAGACCTGGTTTAGATACCATAAACTCTTTCCTATATCCCCAAGAACTCCTAAACAAGTTATTCCTTCATTGTCTTCTTAGCAAGTACCTTTTAAATTTGAAAAACGAGCCTCCCACTTAATTCATATGAGGGGGTTTCGCTTCTCACTTCGGGGGATTTTGTTGTGGAAGATAGAAAACATACATGCCTTGTCAAAGTTAAGAGATTTTTCCACATTGTCAAATGTTTGTATGCTTTGTTATGACGAAGGATTTTTGGATTTTGATATCCGTCATGTTGGTGGTTTATGGGTAATGTTTGAATCACAAATAGATAATAGTGTAAAAACTTTTTGGCTAGCAATATATTGAATCATTGGTTTGTGGAAAAACGAACTTGGGATAGATAATTTGTGCCTTTAGAACGACTTGTATGGGTTGAGGTTGAAAGTTTGCCTTTACGTGCATGGAGCAAAGATGCTTTTAGGAAAATTATTGCTAAGTGGGGTACTATTGCTCATCTTGAAGACAATCTTGACGAAGATAACTATAAGAACTAGATTTCTATCTTGACTTCTTTCCAAGAAATCATTGCGGAGGTGATTAAGATTTGGTTTGATGACCATATTTCATGGTTCGTATTAAAGAGGCGTCGCGGTGGTAGCCGTCTTTTACATTTGAGTTTCCTAAGACTACTTTTGAAAATCGATAGACTCATGGCCCTTTTAAAAAAATGATGATTTACATTCCATGCTTGATAAAGAGGGCATCTTGAAAGATTCGTTTGAGATTTATGACACTTTGGAAAAAATGGGAAAAGATGAGAAATTTTTTGAGTGGCAAAATCGGAATTACTCTCCATAAGAACCTCACCTCAATAACTTGGAAGATGTTACTATCCCCCTAAGCTAATCCTTTGGTGATATTTTTCCACCAACATCAGTCTAATTCTTCTCCAGATGCCTTGGTTTCTGAATCACGACCCAAGAAAACCCATGATGTCACAAAAGATCAAGCAACAACAGTGTCACCAACTACTATTGTTGTTACTGTTTATGTTGATTTCGATGTTGCAGGTACTGATCCCTCAGCAACTCTAGTTACTTCAACTGCCTCACATATGGAAGGTCAAAATAAGGAAAAAAGAAATGGTGCTTGTGACAACCCGATATCTCAACTCTATGTAAACGACCTAAAAAGTTAAGTATTGTAACAATTCTCGTTATAATGAAATTAACTTCGAAAATAAAATATCCAAAAATCACTAATTAAATTACCTATTATGTTAGATATCAATAAACCGTGATCGTACGTAAAAAGAAAGCCCAAATCTGACTTCGTATAAAAAGTTATAAATTTTCCAAGTTCGGCTTAGCAACGGACAGCTAAAAACTCGAAACAGAGATCGAACAACTTTTGACCAGAATGACCTAAATGAGAATCGAAGGTCTCGACAATGGTTTTTCAACGGTAAAAAGTCTGGCAAAAACAGACATCAAATAATGAAGTTATGAATTTTTAAAGAAATTTTCTTACCGCGACCTTTTAAAAATAAATAACAAAAATAATTTCAAAATTTGCCGACGGAATCTAAACGAAAGTTGTAGAGTATAGTCTCACCTACGCGTGGATATAAAGAACATCGAAAATGGAGTTCGTATGAAGAAGAAATGAATTTTTGAAGTTTATTAAATATTAAAAAATATAAATTTTAATGAAAACTTTGGTATTATCCGCAGGCTGAGTCACGCCCGAGTACGCCCAGCGTACTCAAGGCCTTGGCCTCGGATCGTCCACGTCGTACCCTATGCGAAGCTATGTCAAGTCCCATCCGGGGGTCTGAGGCAGTCGAGGATGCGTGCATGCGTGACGCACGGGTACGCCCAGCGTACGCCCGTACGCCCCGTGTACGGAGGCGGTTCACACCCCCTATAAAAGGGATGCGAGGGTTCCGAAGAAAAGGGGCATTCTCTCTCGTCTCTCTTGCGTTTTTGCATCGTTTTCCGTGCCCGTGCTATCCCGAAGTCCCGGTCACATTGCTCAAGTCCCGAGGGTCGTTTGTGCTCCTAAGATTCCCGAGAATCCCAAGAAAATCCGCTTTCCCGAGTCGAAATTCTGTCCGGTTTTCATCCCGCCTTCTCCGATTTTTCAAGTGAGTTCATACCCCTATAATTCACACTTTTAAACCTTTTATAAGTACTTTTATATGCTTTTAAGGGGGGGGGGGGGGGGGGGAATACAAGTAAAACACTCGATTATTATTGTGTGTTATATAAAGTTTCATTGTTCGGTTTTTATCAACGGAATCATATGTGATTTATAACTATTATAGGGAAACTTTCATATGCAAATTATACCACGATAACATCGTATCTTTTGAAATAAGAAATGATTTATGTATTTATATAAATCAGACACTCTGCTTATACTATATTTATGTGTGCCGGTTTTGGCACTACAAAAACTATACTTTTCATAACAAGTGAACATTTTCACTAGGAATTACTATACTAACGAAATGCACTTTTAGAAAACTATAATAGGTATAGTTTTACGAGAATACTACGAACTTTTACATACATGGAAATACTATTTCAAGAGGCTACTTTCATATACAAGAACAAACGAACATTTTCACACGTAAAAATCTGTTTTATACTAAGTTTTGTGAGACATTAAACTTCACGTACGCTCGAGTACACATTTCAAGTCCTGTATTATATACCAGAATCCCTTGGAGGGGGAGCATGGTGTTTGTGTATAGATTTATATGAGATTGACAACCCCGCACCCTGACTGTTAGCTACAGTACATCATTTGGGGTGACAAACATCAGAATATTCCAACGCCTGAAGAACGTTGTGTATATGCATTCCTTGTCAATAGCATGGTTATAAAACTCACATAGAGTATTAAAAGCACATTGATTTACGGGGTTTTTCAGATGTAATGGAGGTTTTATACGTACATAAAATCATTTACTTTATATATGAAAAACCCAATTGTTATATAAGTTTGGAACTTCTAACCACTACTCATAGATCGGAAAACATCAACTTTTTAACATATATTGGTCTTGATTTAAGGCTACGCTTATACCAGTAGGAAATATGGGATTTTCTAGAGACTAACAAACAAAAACGAACAATTTCATTTTCATACGAATACTATCATTAAATGCTTATGAAACTCAGCAGCTTAAATGCTGATCTACTCTTTCAAAACTACTTGTATGTCCCAGGGACTCAGTAATTACAGGTACTAAACAACTTTTGATGAAGGAACGCTGCGGCACTAGTTTAAATTCATATTTTGGCATCATATTGTAATTGGTTTTGAACGTGTACTCTTTTGAACAATGTAAACTTTCAATTATATATATGATGGTTGTATTGCTTTCTTTACTATGTATTCATTTGTTACGTTACCACATGAAGTCATCCGCCCCCGAACCTTTCCGCCGTTCCGGTTTGGGGGTGTGACAGATTGGTATCTAAGCAATGTTTGTAGTGAACTAAGTATATCGAACCTCATAAGATATACAAACTATAAATGCTTAGGTACTCAAAGTCTCTGACAAAAGGTTTTCACACCTAAAATCCTTATTTCATTTAAAATAGATTACTTTTGGTCATGAAAAATACAAAATACATGCATACAACAACATATTTTCATGATAAGAACTATACAAAAAATATTAAGACGAGTTGGACACTACGATTAGTTCTCGAGATATGTAATCAAATTTGGGACAAATATAGCCTGATCAACTATATTTATCCGAAATTAGACTAATGTATATCGAGGAATGATCGTAGTGAGCAACAAGTCAAAACTTACCAAAATGGACACTAGTATCAAACATACAATTTAAATACTATATGAGTATTTGGTGCATACAATAGATTAATTAGTGTTACATGTTCTCAAGTTTTGTTCAAATCTTATAAACCTATTTTCGTATAGTCAAATGGCTGGATTTCACCCACAAGGGGACCCCTACTACCCGAACCAGGGCAACGGAGGATGGGTAGAGGAGGATCCGGAAGAGGACGAAGAACCCATCGAGTTGGAAGAGGGGGACGACTCTAGTATAGACTCAGAACCAGAAGTAGTTGACCCTCCAGCCATTAAGAGGAACTTCCAGGGACCGACTCCCGTTTGGGGAAGTCACCTCCACCATTGGAGCCAACAACAAGGGATACGCTCTCCCTACGGTATGTGTCGAAACTTCTATGACATCAGGGACGGAGGTTCAGCCGACTTAGC